TCCTGTTATCCAAAGGTAGAAAATGAATATATATATGTATATATATATATGTATATCCTCTCACCCAAATACAGAAAAATCAAAGCTTTTCTGTATCTTAATTTTGATTTTCCTTCTCTCCAAACAAACCACAAAACCAAAACCATTAATAAAGCAAGTAAGCCTTAATTAAGAAAGGCTCATCTAAATTTTATGTGTACCTTCTCAAAGTATATATATCACTAAGTTTGTCGGCCAATTATTTCCTTGAATTTATATACGTATCGTATATAACCTCGTTTTTTAGGTAATAAAAAGCAAAAGATATACAAATATATACATGTACATATATGTATATTTGATAGGTCAACAAGTAGCTCTTTTTACTCTAAGAATATCAAAATTCCACCTAAAAATTTCATTCTAAGAACCTCAAGATTTGAGAGAGCAAAGCTTTCTCTAAAAGGGTTTCTTTAAAAAAAAGAACTAAAAGTTGGGTTTTAAAGGGAAGATAAATAAAAAAAAGATCGATGTTGTAATACGAGAAATATCAAGACACTTCAAAAAAATTTATAATCCAATAATTAATAAGATAGAATCGTCACTAATCATATTAGATATACAATGAAATATATAAAATAATATAGATTATTTAAGTCAATAAGATCTCCAAGACGTGATGAGTTAAGATAGATCTTGACTAACCTTAAAACGCAGTTCAAATGTTATGATTACTAGCCACATACACTAAATAAGGGAGAGTACTTGCGGTTATTTATCGTAGTTCTATAAATTACCATAAAATTGTCATGGTTTGAACCGAATAATTAATTTTATTTTGATATCTTAATTTGAACCGGACTATGCATATTCTTATTTAAAACTTAAGCAGAATCGAATTAAAAAGATTATAAAAGAGATATTTTTTAAAAAAATAATACATACATATAATAAAAAGCAAAAAGATTAAAAATTGAAATTGTACGGCGCTTTAAAAAACTAAAGTTTAAAATTTTAAAAAATTTATACGAATTACTACAGAGACGAGAATGTTGAGATAAGTTGATCCAAAATATATTTTTAAAAAATAAAAGCAATATTTACAATTTCTAAAGAATTTGTATCATTTTTCTCTTTTTTTTTAATTTTCTTTTTCTAAATTTTTAGAACAAATAATTTATCAGCGGAATAATTTTAAAAATAATTAAAAATTAAATTATATTCACGAAAAGATTATCATGCATGTTACAATCTCTATTTTACATCTAGGAACTATATATAGTGAAAATTTTGTCCTTAGATTACATTATATACATATAAACACACATATATATAAAACCCTCAATCCTTAGTAGTGGATGACCATGCAAGCATGACAAAGATGTAATACCCAGAGGCTAAAATAATATTTAAAGGCAGTATTATATATATATATATATACATACATACATACATACACGTACATATATATATATAGAGAGAGAGAGAGAGACAAAGAAGAGTGAAGATGAGAGAGAGGAAGGTCAAGAATGGGAGTGCTCCCCGCAGATTCCGAAGGATACAGGCTTGCACTCCAATCATCTTATTGCCGAGAAACCGTTGAGGCAAAGTCATTAGTTTTTCTTTGCTTTACTTTCTCTCTCTCTCTCTCTCTCTCTCTATATATATATATATACACACACACACACACATATATATATAATACACACTCTCCCTCTTATCTTATCATGAATATTGACTATATAAAGATACATACATTAACTTGCACACTCTATTTTTACATCTATTCTTACTCCCTCTATTTTGCTTTTTATTTATATCCTTCTCTGCCCTCCTCCATCAACAATAACACTCTCACTCACCCACGCGCTCCCAATCACCTCGCCTATACATACACACACACACACACATATACATACATATATACACGACACATAATTACTTACCATTATTTTACACCATTTTTTTTCTTATTAACAAACACATTTTGCGTCACACCACTCACATTAATTTCATCACCCATTTTTTTTTTTTTTTTGTGTGGTTCTTAACACCACTACAACTAAGTATTCCAATTTAGTTTCTAACTTATGCTACCAAAATCATTCTCATTATATTTACTTTATAATTTCGTATCGTTTTCGGTTTTAATCTACGCTCGTACTTTTTTTCGGGTAAATTAATCTTTAATATTTGATACTTGTCATAATTTAATTTTAAATATATAAATAACTTAAATAAATAAATTTGATAAATTAATTAAGTCAATAACAACAAAGATTGTCTAATATTATATTATTATTAATAGTATATTCATTACTATATTTAAAGTTGTTTTTTAAAATATTTAAATGAGAATTAATTGTTTTATTAAAAAGTGAAAAAAAAAACTAAATATTTGAAATAAATAAATAAAATTAAGAATTAAAAATTAATTTAATAATTTACTCTTATTTTTTTAATAAATATATATATATATATTTCGTTAATGAAATAAGACATATTAGCAACCTTGTAAAACTAAAGCATATAAAAATATTTAGTGTAACATATAGTATTACTTTCACAATAACATAGTCTACTCAAAAATTAATTAATAAAAAATTATCCCTACATATATATATATGTATATGTATGTGTGTATGTATATATGTAGGGATTCACTTTGGTGTTTTGTAGGGAGAGTGTTGTGCACGCGAGATGGAGGAAAGTGAGGGGTAGAATGAGGGAAGTGAGGAAGAGTAGTGGAGGGTGCAACCAAGAATGTAGAGAGAGAGAGAGAGAGAGAGAGAAGGGTGATGATGTAATAATAAATAAATAAATAATTTAGTTTATATAAATATAAATATATAAATATATATATATTTGTGAATTGTGATATGGTGAAGTGCGTTGGCAAAGTGTGAGAAAGAGAGTGTGAAACGGACTTTACGTTAACAACCTCCCCCCAACCCCAA